CTAGGGGTATTTTAAATTGGTTTTAACTAAATTTTAGTAGAAGCGGCCTATTTAAATATTTATTTTTAATTATTCTCTTAAATTTTATATTTTGTATTTGTATCAAACTGTTTTTAAACTGGCTGTAAGCCGCCCTGAGTCCTCCGGGAGAAGGGCGGGGTATAAATATAATAAATTCAAATTCAAATTCAAATTCAAAATATAAGTGGAAGAAAAAACAAATTCCAATCCTTTAATTTCTGCTGTTCATTTGTCTGTCAGGCTGCTCTATTGCCCTCCTTCTCGTTGATAAGGTATTTTTATAAAGAAAAGGAGGAGGTAGCAAAACCTTTGTATGTTATAGCTTTTTTAGTCCCCCCTGCTAGTTTGCAACAATATGTAGTTACATTAATATACACAACACATTACTGATTGAATTGGGGTGTCTTGCCATCCTTGCAATTCCTCCAGTTGACCATGTTCTTCCCTGAAGTTTCCTTCATCCCCAAGGACCCCTCTCCTTTTGCTTTATGGTCTTCAAAACCATTGCTTATAATTTTTATCATCCCAGAAAAGCAGGATAACTGGATTTGTTTTCTAGGAAGCTCTTTGTAGGAGAAATTCTAGAGGTGCTGTTATTTGTACCTTAAGAAAAAGCTTCATCCTAACATATGTATCCCTTGGTTTTTCTCCTCAGGATGGGAGAAGCAGCTTTATTGGCCATCAGCTTGGCGGAGTCATGGAGCTGCCAAACAGCAAGGACCCAAGGGTCAAGTCAGCCAGAGCTGTCCAAGTCACTTACTACCTCCAGACTTATCCTTCTGCAGCCCAGGACCTCATCAGTGAGAAGTGGGAGAATGAATTCTGCAAACTGATACACGAGCTGCAGCTCCATCACAAGGATCTACAGCTGCATTCTCTGGCCTCCTTTAGTTTGTGGAGGGACTTTCACAAGACCAGCATCCTAGCCAGGGGCAAGATCTTAGTGAGCCTCATGCTTATTCTGTTGGTGGCCATCCTCTCCAGCTCCATGAAAGATTGCCTGCGCAGCAAGCCATTTCTTGGGCTCTTGGGAGTGCTCACAATCTGTATCTCCAGTGTTACTGCTGCAGGGATATTTTTCATTACTGATGGAAAATATAATTCAACTCTGTTGGGAATCCCTTTCTTCGCAATGGGTAATTATTTATCTTTTTAATAACAGGATTAGTGTTGCTGAATGACAGAATTGTAAATAGCTCCTATCTTATGTTGTATAAGTACAGCTATCTCTCGATTGATTTGCCTGCAGCTTATAAATCACCCTAAGCAATTGCCCCATCTCTTTGTTAAAAGAAAAGGGGGAAAAACTGAGAGGGTAAAATGATTGGAACCAAATCTCAACCAAGAGGCAGATCTTTTATGGATCCCAGTTATAAAATGAAGAAAAAATGTTTTGTTTTTTTTAAATTAGAGAGTTGCTGAACTGGTTTTGAAAAAAAAAACTCAATCAGAACATCAAAGAAGAGGGCAGGGAGGAGAATAAAACAACTCTAGAAGGCAAAGTGTCAAATATGGGGACAAAAAGAGTATAATTTGCAAAGGAGTTAACATTCTGACTACATGCATGTTTATTGATATAAAGTCTCTTTCTATGAAGTACGATTTATGCCTTTGCAATGTGTTTAGTCATAAATAATGTACAGGTAGTCCTCGACTTACAATAGTTCATTTAGTGACCGTTCAAAGTTACAAGAGCACTGAAAAAAGTGATTTATTACCATTTTTCACACTTACAACCGTTGCAGCATCCCCATGATCACGGGATCAAAATGGAGACCGTTGGCAATTCACTCCTAATTATGATGGGCTCCCCTGATCCCCTTTTGTGACCTTCAGACAAGCCAAGTCAATGGGGGAGCCAGATTCACTTAACAGCTGTGGCAAGAAAGGTCGTAAAATGGGCAAAACTCACTTAAGAACTGTCTCACTTAGAAATTTGGGGTTCAATTGTGGTTGTAAGTTGAGGGCTACCTGTACAAAGCACCCCAAATAAATTACATTTAGGACTACTCTACAACTGTTGAACTCTCTCTCACACACACGCACACGCACACACGCACACATGGAAGCTAATCCTTTGGCCATAATGAGAATTTGCTTTTAATTAAATATTCTCAACATAATTAAACATCATGTATTTTCCAGGGTTTTTTTAAATTATAACATTATACATCTTCTATAATCTCTAGCTTTCTGAAGTTAAGGCAATTGCCAAGATGCTTGGAATAAGTTATTAGGATGCCATTTATTTCAATTAAATAACAAATATCATGAAACCATCCTACTTTTGAAGCAAGTAACATGTATTTGGGCAGGTTTAATTTAAATGAATGGACTGACATGATCAGCAAATCAAAACTGAAGCTATAAGCAAAGGATGAGTTTTCTGTCAGTCAGTCTTTAGATTGAAATAACTGATCTTGTTCTGTAGAGATAGAGCATACCTTTGGCCTTTAAGTATTCTATTTTCGATGGGAATACACTTTCCATTTGATTTCCAGGTCCTTCTCATTTAATTATACATGGTACCTTTATAGATCACCATGGGCAAAGAAGACTATTTTTAGAGAGTTATTTAGAGGTGGAATCTACTGGCAGAGTCAATGGGGACCAAATACTCTTATTTTAATTTCGAGACAGATATCTTTCTCTTCAAAATCGTTAACAGAATTTCCATGTAACTAGAGAAAGAAAGAGAGCCAGTTTGGTGAATTAGTGAAGGTGCTGGCCTAGAAACCAGGAGAGTGTGCGTTCTAATTCTGCCTTAGGCATGAAAGCCAGCTGGGTGACCTTGAGCCTGACACTTTGTCTTAGCCCTAGGAATTAGGCAAGGGCAAACACCTCCAAAAATCTTGCTAAGAAAACTGCAGGCAACTGCCATAATTCCGAACTGACACAAAGACATTCATTCATTCACAAACACACAAACAAATGAAATAAAACTACAGAGCAAATGTTTCTGAATTCTTGTAAGATAAATTTGCACAGCAGTCAAAATTGCTATATTCTTGCTACAATAGTTAAGAACTCTTCACTGGGGATATATAGACTGTTTCATTGTTTAGGATATTCAGAGATATGGATGCATTCAGCTTTTTATATTTAAGGAACTGTAAGATGGTTTAATTTAAGAAAACTGTCACTGCTTGTATCTGGAAATATAGCAATGCATACCACATCAAGCATCAGCTCATTAAGGTTGAAAGGACCATGCTTCATGGCAGAGATAAGCTGGCGTGGTCTATACATCATCCTTAATACTTTCAAATGCTAGCAGTACTAGGTGAATTGTGATCAGTTCTTTCACCATGGGAATAATGGCTCCCATTCCAGAAAAACAAAGTACATTAATTTATTGTTTACTCCTTTTAAACATTTGTTTTTTTAAGACTGTATTTTGTTTGGCAGCTTATAAAATTGGTGATGCATAATTTAAAAAATCAAACATCTAAAACAATCACTCAAACTCTCTGTCAAATCTTAATTGCTTTGGGTCTAATTTCTGTTGTCTTAAACCAATAGGTCTTGTTGTATTTGAAGGCTTCAATAGACATCTGGATCTAGCCTTTTTTCAATTCTTTTTCCCTTTCTCTTGCTTTCCTTGTACTTCTCATGGAAGTACAGTTAGGTCAGAAATTCAGATCATATCAGAAGTTGTTTGTGACTTGTAACTTATTAAGAGGAAGGCAGAAAAACCCTAATCTCTCTGGCATTTTCCCAGCCTCATATTTATACTTCTCCTATACATGGTGAATGTTATACACCAGTGGTGGCGAACCTATAGCACACGTGCCAGAGGCAGCACTCAGTGCTCTCTCTGTGGGCATGCATGCCGTCGCCCCAGCCCTGCCTCCCCCCGCAGCCCCCTCCTCACCAGCAGCCCCTCTGGAGGAGAGTTGCCCCCGGGCATGGAACAGCGCAGCCAAGCACATGGCAGCTGGGCAGCAGGGACAACTCCGCCCTTGCACTGTGTCACACACAGATGATGCTGCGGGGCGTGAGCGGAGGGTGTGGTCACCGTGGCACTGCAGAGCCACTTGGGTGATCTGGGCCGTGGAGGCGGTGGTTGGCCCGGCAGGTGGGGCGGGACGGGGACGGGGGTGGAGCAGGCGGGACGGACCGGCGGGGGTGGTGATTTTGGGGCACTCGGTCTCTAAAAGGTTTGCCATCACTGTTATACACTGTATAACCAATCAATTAAAATGATTCTTCACAAACAATGCAAGATTTCAATGAGGAAACCATATAATATAAAATAAGTGTTTGTTTGGGTGAGTCCTGGCTATAAATCCTACCTTTATCAGCTGGGTATCCCAGCAAAATTGCTAGGATGGGTGGGAGATCTCTCTCTTTTTCTTTGTTTCACACAAACCCTGCTGCTTTATTTTGGCTCTTGGTCTAAGATCATCTAGTGAATTATAGATATGCAGTTCTGAACATGTCAGAAGAAAATTCTTCCCTTGTACAAAGCTATTTTGGCTAGAGGTCCACATGCTATCTTGTGCTACTTGGAGATAAACTTTCAGCAAGGATATAAAAGGTGAGCTTCTGATGTGGCTACTCTCCATGTGCCCATAGCATGCAGTGGTATTTGAAGAGTCTAGTTGTTTCTGGATCAGTGAAATGATAATAATCACATAGAAGAAATCACATAGAAGAATCACACTCATGTGATTCTGTAGGCTAGGAAAGAGATAAGTAGTTTCTTTTGAGATTTAGGGGCATCTGAAAAAAAATCTCTTTTGAAATAGTTGAATCACTTTCTATCTGTAAGTCAGTAATATAGATTGAAATGATATTAAGGAACTTTCTGTGTGATACCTTCAATTAAACAATATCCCCCATGAAACACTATGCTAGGTGATATCATTCATAGTGATCATGTAATTATCTATAACAGACATGTCAAACTGCCGGCCCACAGGCCAGATGCATCATACTGAAACCGCGCCCACCCTATTGCCGGCAATGGGGAAAAAGTCGCAATACGTTGCGTGACATTGCAAGTTTGACATGCCTGATCTATAGCATTCCAAAAAATGCCTTCTTTTAAAAAAAAAAAAATTCTAGAAGAGCCAAAATGTCACTTACCTTGCTTTTAGGTTAGTGCACAAAACAATCAACTTGTGCATTTCTAGACTGAGTTTGTGCATGAGCCACAACAGATCTAGAACAAGAATGCCCTGAGTAATTAAGGCTTATAAAACCTCTTTAGTTCCAAATGGTTTATGCAACTTAAGAGGTCGGATAACATACTAGAAGTGTTTTCAGCTCCTCGGCAGAACATTACTTTCCACTGAGCATAATAGCATCCCTAGTCCAAGCAAGTCTGTCTGACGGAAACAAAATAGCAATAGCTTCATGCTCCAGAAGAGATGCTGGAATCTGCAATCTAGTTGATTGCTTTTGGAGAAAAGATGTTCTGTGAAATGCAAGCAAGTGCTTTGAGCCCCTGTATTTTGCATCTATTTCCTTATTATCTCAAAACAATTATCTTGCTGCATATCTTCATATACTAATCTGAAAGCTGTGTTTCCTCCCACCCTCCGAAGTGCATTCCCAATAACTAACATTATTTAGACTGTATAATAGCACAGAACTCCCAAAAGTGCTTTTTCTCCCCAAAAGGCAACTGGACTTTGTTTTTTTTTCCTTTTTCCTTCTCATCCATGAGGCTTCTTCATGAGTTGAAGGAGCTTCTTGAATGAAAATCGAAACATCTTCAAGGAAAAAACAAAGTCCAGTTGCCTTTTGGAAAAAAAGCACTTTGGGGACCACCATAACCTGGATGACTGAGAATCTCCATAGACAACAGCACAGAACTGCATGATGAGGATATAATGGTGGCCATGACTTTACTTAAATTGACAGGTTAATTTTAAATGCTTACCAAATCTGTGAACAAAATATTTTTATTTTGCTTTTTAAAATGCTATACAACCATTAAAATGCTTTACAAACATTTGTTTAATCACTGTTCAAAGTTACATCACTGAAAAAAGTGACTTATGACCATTTTCACACTTACGACCATTACAGCATTCCTATGGTCACATGATCAAAATTCAGATGCTTGGCAATTAATTCATATTTATGACAGCTGCAGTGTTCCAGGGGGTCATGTGATCATCTTTTG